ACCATGGCTGTGTGGTTCTTGCTCCCCAAGATGTAGTCTGGGAACCAAGAGCATCCATTGCATCTGTGAGTGAGTGAAAAACACAATCAGACACCACTCCAGCCTCCAGAGCTAGAATCTGGATTTTTAAAAAGATCCTCAGGTGATTTTTAAGCTCGTTTGATTTGAGAAGCACTGCTCTCCATGTTAGTATAGGGTAGTGAAAAGTTTATATTTCTCCTGACTTCTTAAAGCACTGTCTTCTTAATATGCTTTCTATCATTTATTTAGGACTGATCCAAGGAGAAAAGAATTCTCATCTTGAAAGTGCTTGTCATAAATTGCCTTTCCTGTTTCCCTTAGCTGAGTTCAATGGCCTGAAAGATTGAGTAGTTGAGCGCTTTAATGCTTCTCCATCAAGCTTTACTCTTTCCTGAGTGGCTATCACACGCGGTGTCTTCAGATTGAAAAGAGCTAGGACAGGAAGGACATTGTCCTTATTTCATTAAAGACTGAGGGGTGGGAAAGGTGTTGTGAGTTCGCTCACTGGACTTTGTGGAATCATAGTGTCTAGAGATATGGTTTTTAGATAGATAACTGGTCCTGCATTGGTGTCCGCTGCCAACTTCATTGAAAATTCAGTTCTTCGGTTATGTCCGAGACATGCTGGTTCAGGAGGCTGCAGAGGCCCTGGAATCTGCACTGTAACCCCTGTTTTGCAAATCACTCTTTTCCAATGTTCACAGCCTCTAGGCTGCACATAAATGATTATTTTCTTACAATGGGAAAATTTAGGAAAAATTTAGGAAGCAGACATAGAAAAACCTACCATTGATCTGCGAGTTAGAAGTCCTCCCTCTTGACTGATGTAAACCATCCGGGAAAGGTGCTGTTCCTGCCCTTTACTGTCTGTAAAACTGAGCTTTGCTCTTCAGTTCCTTGTGCGTTCACAAAATTGTGACTGCTTTGAGCTCCCAAAAGACAAGATATGTGAGCTGAACTTGTTTGTACACCTTTAATATCTTTCCTACTACACTGTGCTTTTCATTTCAATAGAAAATCTGGCCTTATCTGTGATTCCTGCCTCCTTTCTGGCTTCCACCTGCCTGCTCTCCTCTGTTCTTCGGTTCTATGGCACCTTCTCCTGCATGCTTTTGTCTGGGTCAGATCAAAAGCTTCTCTGTGGGGTGGATCGGAGGGTCTCTCGCTGGGACCTGTCAGGAGCTGGGGAGTCCTTAGGGGGCAGGAACTTCAAACTAGGAAATCCGGAAGTGCAGGACTCCGAGTCTGGAGGTGGGGTGGGGGTGACACTATATGGTATGCTCCGTCATGTTTCCGTGGGGCCCAGAACTTTCTATAGTTGGGAGGAGCTGTAGGTTGAAGCACAGTATGTTCCAGAGTGCAGAATAAGCAGGTACCAAATCTATGTAATATAATTACTTAGTTGCATTACTAGATGCATCATATTCTGACTTATATTAATGAATATGCCTACAGCACATTCCTTTCCTCCCAAGGCTTTAATAAAGTGCAGATAATGCCCTTCCAATACACTGTATTTGGGTTTTAGAATCTGTAAGATTTGTACTTTGACTGTTATTAGTGGGAAGAGAGTGAAAATTGAGTCTCCAGCCACACCAGTGAATGAACGCGATCTCCTCTGATCTCGGAAGCTAAGCAGGGTCGGGCCTGGTTAGTACTTGGAAGGGAGAGTAAAGATTGACTTTTAAGTAGTAAAGTGCCAAATGCTCAGTCTTCAAGGCCATTGGATACAACTAGATAAAACAAAAGGGTTTAAAATGTTTTCATATAGCAATGTCTTCAAGGGAAAATACCATGTAGTAAAACGGTAAATGAGCTTGGTGTTTGGAATGATGCTCGCAGGTGTGGTGGTGCACACTGGAACCGCCAGCCCTTGGGAGCTTGAGGCAGGAGAATCACCTCAGTCCCTTCCTGGGCTACACAGTGAGTTCAAGATGGGCCTGAACTACATAGACTTTGTCTCAAAAAATATCCCAAGAACAAAAACCAAAAAAAGATATTCTTCATGGGTGAGGTACAAGAAAATGGAAAAAAGAAATGATGCCATAATGCCAGGCTGAAAATTGACCTGGAGAAACAGTGCAGAATACAGATTCACATGGAGAGGGGGCTTTACTTTGGGGGTCAAACTGGTTAACTCTTAATTACTTACTACTAACCTCACTACTAATGTTATTTACTTAGTATTCACAAGAGCCATATCAAGGCTTGCTATTATTAATTGAGACAGGTTAAGTACATTACTCAAAATCTCATATCCTTAAACACAGAGTCAAGATGGAAAGTCTGGTATTTTGTTTGAATCTACACTCTTCAGGGTGCTAAATTGTTTCTCCAACAAAAACTAAGTGTCTGCCGCTCTTTTGCCCTTAGCTCTTATTTTTATTGGCTGGAGATGGAGTCCAGGGCCTTGCACACACTTGGAAAGTGCTGTACCAGGGGGTCACACCCCTGGTCTTGCCCTCTTAAAAATAATTTTTGCCATGTAGTGCTCTAGAAGTTTACAGTTCTTGTCTCCGTATGGTGATACGGTCTCCTTCTTGTTGTCCTCGTACCTTCAGCCTTTGTTTCAAAAACTGGTATCACTGTGGTCCTCTGGCATTTTTGCAGTAGAGCCTCCGGTTTGGGTAGAAGTGACAAGGACAGTGCTGTATAGAACGAAGCAGAGACGTCACCCTAAAGGTGGGGAGTGAGTGCCTCAGCACTTGCTGACTCACTTCTGCCGTTGGCTTGTTTATTTTTTAATTCTCATGACTCCATAGCAAGTATAGATTATTACGAATAAGGTATTTTGGCTTTACCCACTTTGATAAGTGTATTTTTGTGTTTGTGCATTCTGGCCTCAGAAACACAAGTTTGTTTGTTTGTACAATTTTGGATTTATGAGCTTATTTCTCATTGAATTATCTTAAACTATGATGTTAGTGAGATGATTCTTTGGATGAAGTGTCCCAGCTTCCTGGATTTCATGTTGTGTCTGTTATCTTTTGTGACCTCAATCATGTCTTTGGTTTTCTAGACTTGACGTGGGTGGCAAGAGTCTTACTGTTGGTCAGAAATTGTCTTTGTTTGAAGAATTAATTTTAACATGGCATTTCTGCGGCCATTTCAATACATTGTCACTTATCTTTACCTTATTCCTCAACCAGTGAAAATACAGAAGAAAAGATTGCAAACGATTGTTTGTAAAAAAAAAAAATGGAGTTAAATATCCGAATTTGCTCAGAAAAATGTGAGCTCTGAATAATGTGCTACCTCAGCAACAACTTGGTGATTTTTATTATAACTTTGAGTTTTACTTCTATAAAATAGAAACATTTCTGGAATTTCCATCATCAGACATGAGTTGTACGGGAACAGAGTTATTAAGACAGAAACCGTCACATTCCTAAAGTGATTAAAACATGTATTTAAATACCCTAATACCCTTACGGCTTCCCTTAATTGTCAAAGGTACTCACTCTTCTCACCACGGCCAAGAGCACACGCTCTAGTGACCTTCTGGCTTGTAGTTTCGCATTCTTCCTCTTTATTTATTACTCTCCGGACAAAGTGACCGCTTTTCAGAATACAAGACTTGCTAGAATGTGTTCTCCAGCCCTTCCTCTTCCTCCAGCAAGAGCAGCTCCCGTTCATCCTTTGCATTTAAATTCTTGCCTCAGAAAGTTCTGAATGCTCTAAGCAGCCCAACTATTCCCCACTGTAGTTCCGCCATTTCGTTCTTAGTATAGATTGTTCTTTGTACTTAACCTATTTATAGATAGCCTTTTGTGAAGCACTGCTGAAGAGACTGTAAGCACCAGGTGGGCAGAAAATGTATCTCTTATTCACCAGTACTGTATGTACCCTGTTCCTGACAAAGTAATATTTTAATGATTATACAACATTAATTGTACGATTACATAGCCTACTGTAGCTTTAAGTAATAGCTCATAAAACTCATTTTGTTACTTTGCTGGTCACTCTGGAATATTATACAAAGGCAGTAGAAAATATTTTAGATAGCATTTACTTAGAGAGCCAATGCTGACTTTTTTTGTGAAAAGAAAGAAGACCTTATTCCAAATCATTTTCTGACATGCTTTTTGGAATGCAGTATCTCTATTCTTCGTAAGTCAAATATTGATCCTAACGTAGCAGCTACTGTACTCTCTTTACTGCAGAGATGCTATGACATTTGACGACAAGTTCCTTCCTTGTTTTGTGTTGTTGAAAAAGAAAGCACAACCTGCCCGTCCTTTTAGTGAGCACGTCTGTGCAGGGAATTAGCATGCCATTTGACAGCCAGCACATGTTCAACATGAGTGTCCTTATGGACATGTAGAGTCTAATGCAGAAAAGCCCTAGGTTTTTAATGCATCTTACTTTCTAGATTATGTAGATCACATAGCCATATTTCATCCACTAAATGGATTTAAATTCATGCTAGCACACTGTGATCACTTAGAGCACGTTTTAATATATGGAAAAGCTATACAAAGCACGTCAGCACTAAAAGTGTGTGTTTACGTGAAAAAAACTCACTTTAGTTTAAATAAACTGAAAATGAAAAGCCCATCGAGGAAAACACATATAGATACAGGTGAATGTCAACCTAACTGGCACAGCATTGATGATTATCCACCGAGATAAAGTAAACAGAGCGGGGGTGATTGGAGAGTAAAGCCGACCAGCCAGTTTTAATGCTCATCTCGTGCGCAACGTGTGCACACTGTGTGTGTGTGTGTGTGTGTGTGTGTGTGCGCGCGCGCGCGCGTGCACTCACATATGTGCACCCACTGCTGCTGCTGTAACAAATACGACGCTCATGTTCTTTATATAGAGTAGAAAATGCTTAGATTCCAGCGCCTGAGCGTGCAGAAGGCATTCTGCCTGTGCCGTGCCTGAGACAGAATCCAGGTGCCTAAGGCTGTAGAGAAGGAGGAGAGGCCCCTTGCGGATGGGATGCTGAGCCCCCCGACTGTTCTCTTCCCCTGCAGGAGAGCGCACAGCTGCTACAAGTGTCGCCAGTGCAGCTTCACGGCTGGCGACACGCAGGCACTACTGGAACACTTCAACACTGCCCACTGCCAGGAGCAGGACAGCACTACAGCCAACGGCGAGGAGGACGGGCCCGCCTGCGCCATCAAGGAGGAGCCCAAGCTGGACCTGAAGGTCTACAGTCTGCTGAGCCCAGACTCCAAGCCAGGCGAGGCCGCGTGCGAGGGCACGGTGAAGCGGGAGAAGCCGGAGGACAAGGACGCGCTCAGGGAGAAGGCCTGGGCCGAGGGCTCGGGCGAAGAGCTGCGCG